TTAACTTCAGTTTAATAGTCTACATCCTCTTTGTTAGTTGATCTGACAGCTGAAGGAGGGAGGAATGTAGCATCTCTGACTTAAAGTGCAAACATACTAAGAAATGTGAAGAAATATGCTATTTTGTAAAACTGCTGCATTTCAAGTCTCCCTCCAAGGAAAACAAAACAAAAAGATTGAACAGAAAAGGAAGGGGGAGTAAAATTTTTGTCCTTCCAGTAGCTTCGCAGTAAATATATGGGGTTTATAACCAGATTAAATGCTAGTGTGGTGTTTTCAGGTAAATGGGATGCTGTCTCATTACTATACAATGGTATCTTATAGTGGCTTGCATGAGAAATCAAAGTTATCTCCTGTGTGTAAACAAGTAAAAACATGTTTCTTGTCCCTTTTTCCTTCTCTTCCCATTCTTCTCTGCCCTTTGACTGTAACACAGATCTTCACTTCTCTTTTGTCTTATTGCAGCATGGTTAACTTGTTGAAAAAAGTGCATGCTAACAAGTTGGCAAATATCCTGAACTTACGTAGATGGTGCCTGAACCTTGCAGATGCACATATGGTAGTAGCTACAGAGTTTGTGTATCATCGGTTCTTGTTTGACAGCTTGTACATCATATACTTGGCTCTGGTCCCTTGTAGCTTCAGTTTGAAATTTCCTTGCTTTTAAATATTTGTCTAAGACTTAGGAGAAAATTCTACATAGTCTTGAGAGCATCTGAAGATACTTTGAGGTGTCTTTCATCTGTTTACTGAAAGGAAAGTCCGGAGGCTTTGCTAGCGTCAGTCTGCTTGGTAGTGACTCTGCGCTGTGATTCAGGAAGCTGCTTCAGCCTCTTCAGAGCTTCTGCTATCCTCCTGATTTTCTTTGCTCTGTGTAAGTTGTCTCCTTCTTTGTAGGTTTTAAGTCATTAATTTCTTTTGAATCCTGTTTTTCTATGCATGGATTTATAAGCAAAGTTTGTATAGAAATCTGGCCATCTGCAAGACGTCAAATCTCTATTCATGCTGTTAAGTCTAGTGCATGAAAAGCTTTTCTTGGGCATCTGGGAGTAGAGTTTATAAGACATCAGGGCTTCAAAGGACTCTTTGAGGGAGGCTGGCAAGGAGAAAGTCTTCCCAAAATAAAGTTTTTAGATTTTACATACTTTTGCTTAAGTAGAGGGTGGGAGCTTTTGTTTGAGAGAACAGACTCTCTGGAAACTGAAATGCTTTTGTAAGCTGCATGTTGGGTTTCTAAGGGTGAATCTGTTGTGACCAGGCTTAACCCCTGAAACTCTTAAATATAAGCATAGCTAATGTTGGATGGAGTTCTAAACAAACTTTTGAAATCTATTCTGGTATTTCAGTACCTGTGACTGTACTGACATGTCTCATAGGTGAGCAATTTTATTTCTACTTGACTGACATGTCTCATAGGTGAGCAATTTTCTTTCTACTTGCCAGTGAGAAAATGGGATTTAAGGATTGGTTTAGCTGATCTATTTAAATATGAGCCCAATTTCATGTTGATGTTAGAACTTCAGAAAATCCTGAAAGCAAATATATTAATTACTCCAAAATACTGTATTTTAAAGGACTTCATGGATTTAGTCTTAGAGAAGCTGGAAAACAATAGTTTAAATGACAGAATAAAATTATTCTGTCAAGTCAATATTGTGATAATTTTTCTGACATTTCAAGGAGCCAGTGTGTGACATAAGTACACTTGTAATGACAGAGGTGCCAGACATCATGCAAGCTTGAAATCTAATTGATTTTAACTGAGCTTTAATACAGTTCTTATGCTCCACCTGCTCCAGCCTGTCTTTCAGGGCCTTTGTAGCCACATTTCTGTCTGAGAAGACAATTCTTTGTTTGTCCTGTTGGTGTGCACCACTCTCAGGGGAGCATGAGGACGGTGAGGCACAGTGACAGGTGCATAGACAGGGTTTTGATTGCAGGATCCCTATCCACTGTTACCAGAAACATCACTAGGTGAAGGTGTGTGAATTTCTTGCCTCTATATGTTATGGTAAGCTGTTTTCAAAAGCTGGGGCTCCTCTGGAGTGATACTGTGAAGCATTTTGAAACACAGTATTTAAGTCAGTATTGGCAGAATGTTGGCAGAACATAGACTGTTCTTTTCCCCCTTCCTCCCATGCCACAAACTGTGCTGCTTGGCGTTAGCAATGGAGACCTGGCTTGTTGGGTATGAGCAAATGATCCCACCTCTGTCAAGTTGGCCGTTTTACAGCGTTCTGCCACCTTTGATACTCGCCATGAGATGGATGGACACGTGAGATCTCGGGTGGTGTGAAGCATGCTAGTATGCAGAGTTCTTCTAACAGGTGTGAACTGGGAGAGGGAATTCACCCAAGGTTAGAGCTTTGTGTAATGTGGCCGGGGCATCTCAGAGGCTGGTAATACCAGGTTTAAGATAGAGCAAGGCCTCATCCTGTATCCTCAGACCACATCATGATTAGTAGTGCTGTTGGGGCCACCTTCTTCCAGGCAGAAATCATTGCCCAACATCATCTTTTTTAATAGAAGTAGTGAGGAATGTGTACTTCAAATGATACCAGATTTACAAAGGAGAGTGGGGGGAGGAGGAGAGGGATCCCCCTCCCATCCATGTTGCATTGGGTCACTTCATCTGAACGTGTGTATAACTATCAAACTCATTAAGTGGATGACTTTTCCCACAGGAGACCATTCTTTACCTCTAAACAAGCTTTTTCTTTGTACTTTTAAAGGATCTTATGGTTCCATCCAGTTTTATATTCAAGCCAGTTTCCTGGCAGTCCTTATTCCTTTAATGTGTGGCTTTCGTTTGGGGTTTTTGTTTGTTTTTTTACTTATAGAAAATGAACATGTGGCTGACTTTTTTTAAGTGAGATTTTGTACTAAAGTTACATCCAAAGTTGTGAGTTCTTCTTTTTCTGAAATAAATGTCTTGAAGCTATTGGACTGAAAAGATAATCAACCTTCTGTAGAGCTTTTCAGATTTAGAATATACTTGTCAGTCTGTTTCCCACTACTTTTATTGTTGTTTTGTTTTGCTGTATCAGTATGTGTGCCAGATTTGTTGCTAAAGGCTGAAGATGGAATTTTTAGGCTTTCTAATAACTGGAATAGAAGACTTATTATTTTTAGGTCAAGTCTTTGGCAAAAGCTGATTAGCAGAAGCCTCTTTAATTCTACCTCAGTAAAAAATACATAAGCTTGCAAAAAAAGTCATAACCTCACTTCTCTCATAACTGTGCATATAGTATGAAATACATGTAAACTGGCAGATAATTAAAATGTTATTCAGGTTTGAAAGTTGCTTTGGGCACTGAAATAGAAATGGGATAAAATCGATTCAGTTGATCCCTGCTGCACTGTTTCAGTAAATTGTTATGGAAAATACTTTGCTTGATCATTAATGTTGTTTGCACAGGGGAGGATTGACATTTAGTTCAGAGGTAAAGGATAATCACTGTAATCACTTGGTAATTACCCCATTACGGACTGGTATTAATCATTTGATTGTGCAGTCGGTAAACATTTACATGATTGTTTTAGGTGAACCTGCATCATTAATACATATCCCAAGTGGTAGCCTCATGAATGTTTTGGAGATTGTATTGGAATTGCTGTACAGCATAGTCTTCTGGTAATTAAAAAAACAAACAATCAAAAACATGCCAAAAACCCCCCAGGCAATAAAACAAAACAAAACCTTGTGGTTTTGTTATTTGTAGTGCTTGCCTTGACCTGGCAGGCTGGTTAAGGCCATAGAAACTCCTAACAATGAAATACTCGCTGCCCAAATACTAAGCATACAAAGGAACAGGAAATTCAAACTCAGGTGTGCTTTCAGTTGCGTGGAAGCAGAACTGATATTTATCAGTTACGTTTCTGTAATTACTTTAAATCGGTATGCTGTAGTCTCGTTCAAATTCTTACTAGATTAAAATTACACACACACACACTCCTCCCCAGTCCTTAGTGTCTCTTCAGAGGAGAACCCTTGGGAGTCAGGAGGAAGGCTTGTTACAGACCGTGTAATGTTCCTTAATAACAATGTGTCTTTTTCCCCTTAAGGCATCGCTGGCTTCACTCAATGACGGATGACCCTCCAACTACGCATCCACCAGTCGCTCGTAAATTTATCTGGGAGAATCACAAATTCAATCTGAGTGGCACTCCCGGACAGTACGTACCTTACTCTACTACTCGCAAGAAGATACAAGAGTGGATCCCACCTACAAGGGCTAGCAAATAACGACGACAAAAAATGTGACTTGCCTCAGCTTTGGCTTTCAGTGTAAATTGTATTTTCACTGGGTTTGTTCAAAATAAAAGCCTCCTATGACAGCTGTCGTTTAGTTTATTGAATTGCGGGGGAAACAAGTGAGAAAACAATGGGAAGAGGTAGACGACAGAATACATGACAAGTCTTAATCTCATCAAGATATTGGGCTTTCTGTCATATAGTTAGTGGCTCTTCAGCAGCTCTCATACTCTTTTTAGCATGATGACGATTTCTGTGACAGTCACTTTTCACGTTTGTACCATTCAACAGAATACAAATACAAATTTGAAATACAGGATTCTCATCTTTAATATTATCCTATTATAGTCTCTGCATGGCAAATAATGGCAAATAATGTACTATTCATGTACATTAGGAAGCCATCTCTTCAAGCCAATATAAGGCAAATCAAGGATTATATGAGCCTTCCTCCCAGGCTCAACTTCACACCTTCATTCCTGGCTCTTCCAACTCCCCCCAGCTGAGCACTGGGGCTCGAGGGTTATGGTTGGATCCATAACAGCTCCTCTCTGCTGCTCCTTCCTCACATATTCCCCCGCTCCAGCGTGGGTCCTCTCCATGGGCTCGCAGTCCTTTGGGATAAACCTGCTCCAGCGTGGGCTCCCCAGGGTCTGCGGTTCCTGGCAGGAGACACCCACCTGCTCTGGTGTGGGCTCCTGCCGGGAATCTCTGCTCCAGCGCCTGGAGCTCTCGCCCCGGTGTTTGCACTGCTGCTGCACGCTTCTTGTCCCCTCCTCCTCCCTGCCTGTGCAATGTTTTTGTCCTTTCTTCAATGCACTTTCCCAGAGGCACCACCATCTTGTCTGAGGGGCTCAGCTGTGCCCTGGGCGGGGGGGGGGGGTGCGTGGGGACCGGCATCGCGGCGGGCCTGAGCCGGGCCCTGCGGTGGGTTGGTTGCAGCCAGCTGGAACCGGCTGTGTCCGGCACGAGGCAGCCCCGCCCTCTCCTCACACAGGCCGCCCTTCTAGCCCTGCCGCTGCCGGCACCTTAACGGTTACACCCAGTACACTGACTTGCAAAAATCATTGTTAAAGACAACTAAAGGGTTTTGAATGTATTACGTGCTTGCAACTGCAAGCAAAATGCCTGTCAAGAAAAAAACTACTTCATTCCCTAAGAGCCACCCCAGCAGCTGCGCTGCTGGCCCGGTGCTGGCTTCTTTCCCTTCCCGTCCCCACCTGACGGGGTTACTTCAACCCCAGTTGTTTCCTTATTAAATCAATTTCCATATTAATTCATTATTTAAAGGTGGGGGGTTTACCTTTAATTGCTTTATACTAGCTCTAGTCTTTAAATTAGTAGGAAGGAGCACTTTGTGAGATCTCCTAGCCTATCTAATTAAAAAAGGATAATGTTTAATTTAAGTCAACAAAAGCACTGAGCACAGCTGAAAAGCAATTTGATCCATACTGTGCAGCATACGTGGAAAGCACTCTTTCAACATTTTCATCTTAATAGATGATTTGACCTTAAGAAACATATTTCCCCCAGCACTGCTGAGGAGCTTCGTTACCAACAGTCATCTGTACTTGCCCCGTGGGTGCAAACCTGTGTAGAGCAATTAAATATATTAGTTTTAGCCTCTACTTCTTTTTAATGTGTTCTCTATCTATTTCATTCCTCTTCCTTCTCTGTGCCATGGATTGCAGCCTAAACGCGTGTCAGGAGGTACAGGTGGGAACGAGCCTCTATTCGGGGGACAGACAGGGATGCGGTAACTCTTCCTACACCCCTTGCGCTGAAGAAACAGGGCTCAGAGCCGGTTTGTGCTTTTGTTGTCAGCTGGAACAGAAATGTTAAGGGAACGAACAGTTTTGAGCAGCTTTGTGTGCAGCAGCACTCCATGGAAAGGCAGGAAAACGGACTCATCCTCCTGCTGCGCTGGGCTGAAGCAAGCCTAGGACTCGGTAGCTCAGTTTGGGAAATACTGTCAATCCCATTTCTGGAGAGGAGAGAAAACCACTTGTCCTGCTTTAAGCATCAGGAACAACAAACACTGGATTTTAAATGCAGAATTTCACTGACATCTCTTGTAACATTGCTTCTCCGAGGTAGATTGCATAAGGCATGTCCAGGAAATAAAGCATATGCAGAAAAATCAGCGGTCTTCCACAGGGTTCTCTGTAAATGCTTCTGCGATTTTTTTATCAGCAACCCCATTCACTTATGGAGGCTCACCTTTGCTGGTGACATCTGCCTCAGTATCCAGGCTCAGTTGCTTTCTGGTCTAAATGACATTTTAAATGCCAAGCTGGCCAAGTGTCGCAGCAGATGGTGTCTTCAAGTGCAACTGAAGCACTGACAGGAATATTCTCCTTTTACACTAAATGCAACTTTAAAAGAGGCAACTTTCTGACATGGGAACCATCCCATTAAGAAGACCAGTATCTCTTCCCGGACTAGCAAAGTGCTGAAACTTGGTTTTCTTTTAAAATTGTGTCTTCATCAGTAGCTTTCCACATCCTCGTGGCCCTGGGCAGCCCTTTGGTGTAGCTGCCTCCCAGCTATTGCTCTGCCAACAGCACACTCGGCTCAGCCCCATACATTGGCATGGAGCCCTTCCCTCAACGAAGCGCTGCATCCTCCCCCACTGCTGCCCGGAGCCACCCCTCTCTGCCCGTACAGCCAAAACTTGGCCTGAGACATTAGGGTGGAGAATGGCAGAGAAAGGAGCTTCAGGAGACCATCTCCCCATGTGGAGATACCAGCAACCATAGGTCAATACTTGGGCATGCAACGCGGCTCTGCAGTACCGGCCCTACGGCAGCTGTGCTGCCGGCCACGCGCGCCTACCATGCGCCATGTTCAACCCCCCTGCTAAGCCAGCTAGCGTTGCATGGCAGGACACACTAGACATGCCCAATCCCCATCACCGGTGGTGACTCTTCGCCAGCAGAGAGTTCAGTGAAGGCTCTGGTAGTCCCAACAGCTCAGGTCAGCACAACACAGTGTTAGAATTACAAGGGTGGGCTCCATCACCAAGATCCATTGGCAGCACGCCACTCACTAAGCCTCCAGATTTTGACCTTAAGACCCAAAAATTTCCCTGGCTGCGCCGGTTTGGAGTTCAGGGTGGAGGTTGCCTTTCAGACAGAGGACCTGTGCTGTAGGTGAGTACAAACAACACTATTCAGCGCTCTTGAGGCTTGATACTGTCTGTGACTTTGAAAGCAGCCAAGGAGTCTGCTGTAGCTCTCCTTGGAAAAATGTTACTTCACCAGATGAGATAGATGGACGGGAGAGGCAGCACCAGCTTCTTACTGAAGAACTTGCAGCAAAGAGCTAACCATTTCTAGCTACAGCAGGAGGAGAAATCTTCAACAGGCAAGGACATCGTAGACCATTTAAGAAAGATGGAAAGGAGAGGGGAAGAGACCTTGTGCTTTTCTGCCCAAGCGGTACTGTACTACTGACTCCTGCATGCTGTGCCCACTCTTGAGGGCACACCGAGAACGTTCAAATACTCACCGCCTCGCATTTGTATGTCATATAAGCTCAGGCCTCAGTTTTTGGGATGTTGCCTGCTAAGGTTGGTGCTGGGAAGCAGTCCTGAGTGGGAATTAGAGGGATGATTGTTTTGGATACAGTTGGAAGCCATCAGCCTAGAAAGCTGGGGTATGTGTTTTCCACAGCTGTGATGCATTCAGAGTGAAATCCTGGAGTTACTAATTCTGTGGGGCTTATTATTCTGCTGGCAACCCAGGGGGGAGAGTGGGAGCAGATCCTTGCTTTGCTCACAGGTTAAAACAACTGCAAGTCTAAAGGCTCTGCCTTCACGTGGTGTTCGCAAAGGGGCTGCAAAAGCAGGTGGGGGGGAAAGTGGCAGCCTTTAAATGGCACTTCAGGGTGCCCACACAAAGCCCGCAGGCACTGCTGCGTTACGCCGCGGGGGAAGCCTATCTCGGTGGAAGGGATCAGAGCGACGCATGTCAGCGGGGAAGTGCCCAGCAGGGATTTCCTCCTGGAGACCTGCTGAGCTTCCAACACCACCCTCTGGTTCCCAAGCAGAGCAGGGCCCACGCACTGGAGCCGATGGCGGCTCTTGCTTCCAGCTGAATTTCAGCGTGGAGTCCAGGAAGGGGAGCGCTTTGCTGCGCGTGCTGTTCCCAGCTGCCAGCAGGAGCAAGACCACGCGCATCCCGCAGAGGGTTTGGAGGCCCCCAGAGACTTCCCTTTGCTGAAGAGCCAAAACCAGGTCTGGCCATTTCCTCTACTTATGGTTTTGAGTCACCTGAACCCACGTAACGTCATTTCCCAGACCGATGAATTTTGCAGGCACTGTTAGATTTGTTCACATGCAACAAACACAAAGGACAGAACCAAAGCAGGATTTTGAGGAAAAAAGCAGTGTTTTCAAAATGTATACGTGAAATAATCATCTATAAGACAGCTGTTTTTTTGAAAAATCAATTCAAGGCTTACATTTATAATTTCCCCTATGCATTTTACTTAGAGGTTTTGGTTTATGATTTTTCTCCTATTAAACATCAACAGACTAAAAAAAAATTAGAACATGAATACATGCATGCTAAGCAATATGTGTATACACATATGTGCACAGATAGACTTTTATTAGGAAAAAGAAATACCAAATTTAGCATACAGACTATATTTAGTTGGAAATTTGCATTACAAAGTTTCCAACAAACAATTCAAATTACAAAGATATGTAGAACAGGTTAAGAACTGTTTGAAGATATTCAAATCAAAGTTTCTTTCTTGTTAATTAAAATAATGAATCACTTCATTTAGATCAGTTTATCCTGCACTACAAACCTGATAAGGCAGAAGAGATTGATTTTGATGTTGCAAGCAACAATTTTTGTTTGTGTGCGTAAGAGTGAAAATAAGAGCTACTGGCTAATTTTTAAGTGGGTATTTAGAGCAGGAGCAATGATTACAGGACAGCTTCACAGATTGTTTCTAAAATCCAGAGTGTTTTGGAGTTTGGTCCAATTAAGAAGGATAGGCAGCAAACTAAAATTTTAGGAGCTTATCTTTTTCTTTATGTAAATTACCCACCAAAAACTACATTAACT